GGATTTCCGACATCAGTGAAAAGTGCCCAGGAGAAAAAAGTGACCACTCGGGTGGTCTCCAGAGAGATGGTGTACATATGCAGAACAGATGGAGAGAACCAAAAGAAGATATAAATGAGAACGTACTGGCCTAACAGAGCTGCAATAACATCCGGTCCCCGTTGGCTGTTTGGACAACCTCCTAACAGGGCCAGTGCTGCAGCTACAGCATCACTGTCATCTTACCGTACGAAAATGATCAATTCAATAATGTAAGGTAACAATGGAGACTGAAATACCTTTTCCAATTTCCGCACCAAATTCCAATTCATCTAAAGGTATTTTGAGCTTCGGATCAATTTCCATAAAAAGATTCTCATATGGATTGAACACCGTCATTTGGCATCCTTTATTTTTAATACCCATAAGCCGGTTATTGCCCACTGAAATTAAAATTCCATATTCCAAAACTGGTAACTTTTAATGGTGAAGAAAACTATCATGTACAAACACTTCCAATACGCGGCATGAAGAACACGAATGAAACAAACTGAAAACTGCCTCAAGCACTTATTGCGCCGGAGTGCAAAGGGCTGCTAAAAATTTCAAATAATCCCTGTGTGGTCTTAAATATTCTTGACATACATAAATCGTATGTGTAAAAACGTTTACACTTGCAGGTCAATCGGCAGACCCCACTTCAGCCTGTAGTCGGAAGACGCTAAAATTATTTTCGGATGAATGAAACTCATTTTCACCGAAAAGCAATAAATTCAACTTGGAAAGCAACAAACCGCTTCCGCTAATACTGGGTTAAACGGATAATAGACTAAAAATGGCAACAAAGAAAAACAATGCTAAATTTTAAGCATCCAGCGTTTTGATTAAAGAGGGGTCAATTAGTCAAAAGGTGCCACGTGAGAAGAATAGCGATCCCGCACTTTGCTAATCTTCTGGATACATGTAAGCGCTAAAGAAACATACAGAATACGGGACTAGTTGTATCAAGCGCAATTTCTGAACCACGTCTGTCCGCTTGTTTCATTTTGATTCGCTGTCGCTGCAAACAAAACTGCTTTAGAGTTCCGAAATTTGTGTATTCGTTCTCTAAATTTATATTTTAAAGAAATGTGCAGAAAAAAAAACTTGAATGGAAGAAGTTGTGTTGCTGACCATGTGAAAGCGACGAAGCAGGTACAAAATTAGCGCGATCAGCATAACGAGCACAAAAACTGCAAATACCGATACAACTGCTTTGGCACTTCTGTAAAATATCAGTAGGCAAGAATACTGATAAATAACAGTTACAGTCACTACTACTGGATTCTCGCAAAAATGAATACAGGTTATTTAAAGACACTAACATGGGAATAACATGGGAATGAATACTTACATGCTTTCAGCAGATCTAAACGCCGTTCAGTTTTGACACGCTGCCAGGAAGAATAATTGGCCAACGCACGGGCTGCCCAAGCGAAGATGCGTTTTTTACATAGTTCCCCGCCGATTTTATGCGTTTTTGCCGTGCAGCGCTAGAGCGCTGCAGTAGGCAGCAAAAACGCATATTGCAACG